TACTTATTGGCTAGTTTAGTGTCTTCCATGCTTATAACAAAAACTTAGATTATGAAAAAAAGTATTTAGCCTAGAATTTTTAAATCATTGTCTTCCAAAAAAAAAAAGGTGGGGCTTATGACTAAGAAACTTCTAGAATCTGGGACTTGGTTGGTTTTTGTTTTCCATTGGTTTTCACTAAGGCAACAGTTATTTTTGTTTTTGTTTTTTTACACTTTGTACAGCATCCTGATGATGTTTTTGGCTTGACTGGATCTTGTTCGCTTCTATGTCTCACTCACTGTTCCTGCCACGAGGAGATATAGTCGAGCAGCTCCTCATCATCGGGCTGCTCATCGCTGAAGCTGTCGAACGATTCGAATTTGAATTGATGCTGCAACTGTTGCTGTTGTTGCTGTTGCTGTTGCTGCTGCTGCTGTTGGTCCTGATCGGGCAGCTCCTGCTTCACATAGCTGGCCGATAGATCGGAGGCATCGCTATACGAGTGCGTGGGCGAGCTGCTCGAGTGATACGAGTGTCCGGCGTACTGCATGCTTTGCGGTCCCGGCGAGCTGCTGCTGTCGAGACTGTCGTAGCTGCCGTCGTTGCTGATGTCGTCGGTGAGGCTGCTGCTGCTGAAGAGCTGACGCCGCGGCTGTCCATCGTCGAGCATGTCCTGCAGGCCCCGGATATATTCGACGGCAATGCGCAGCGTATCCACTTTGGAGAGTTTCTTGCTGGCGCCGCGTCCCCCGTTCGACAGCGTATTGATGACGGTCTGTGGCAAATGCTGGCGCAAATTGACGAATCCGTTGTTCACCTGCTTGACACGGTTGCGCTCCCTGGCATTGCGACGTGCCACCGATGGCATTTGCTGCTCGCCACCAGCTCCTGCGCCGTATGGCAGATGGGTAAACGTTTGATACTTCTTCTTGGAGAGCATCGGGCCGAGTGTTGTTTGCTGTTGCATATTCTGCAATTGGCTGTTGCCCAGCGGCTGTGGCTTGGGAGCAATCAGCTGATGTTGCTGCTGTTGTTGTTGTTGGTGCTGCTGCTGTAGCTGTTGCTGCAACTGTTGTTGCTGCTGTTGCAATTGCTGCAGCATAATGTTGCCAGTGCTCAGCTGGAAGTGCGAATAGCTGCTGCAGACGGTCGTCATGTTTATCCTGAACTGAATGCTGGAGTTGAGCTGAGTTGTTGACTGTGTGGAATCAAATTCCGCAATGATAAACCTCGTCCTGCGCGCTCGCCCTTAAGTAGCTGCCGGCGGCAGCGCTGCCGACTGCGCGACGACTGCGCGAACATGAACTGATCTCTGAGGCTACCTGCCCGAGGGCAGGCACACACACAGTCAGAGCCAGCGAGCACAAGTGATCATGCCTGCTCTCTCGGCCTGCCCTTAACTTGCCCTATCTCGCTCTCTCGCTCTCGCTCAATCAATAGGGGTTGCGACGACTGTAGGGGTTGCTCTTACACCCGTGTGGGTGCTAACTCACTCTCCCTCTCCTTCTCTCTCTCTCTCTCGCTCAGCCCATTCAACTTGTCTGCTTTTTGTGCTCGTGTGTGTGTGTGTGTGTGTGTGTGTCACAATTCCCTTTTTTCTTTTGGGAAAAACTGCATCGAAATCGAGACTTAAATCTTATGCACAATGATCCTAACTGCTGATCCTTGTCACAGAATACACACAAGACAAGAAAAATATGTATGTAAGAAATGAGAAAGAAGCGAACTCGCTTTTCAATGCACTTCCACTTTTCTTTTTGTCAGGCTAAAAGAAATAAATAAGAAAATTTACTGCGCACTATGCGCCAGCTCGCTCTCTCATACGGACGCCCTCTCTCCCTCTCTCTCTCCCTCTCTGTCTCCCTTTCTGTATCTGTGTCGCGATGTGATCCATCATGTGTGCGCCACTGGCTGGCACTTTCGCTGCCTGGCTAGGGAGTTGGGGGCAGGCACTCAGTGATCTGTTTAGGCTGTTGGCCTTGGACAGCAGACGGGGGCAACTGTTCTTTAGCATTAAGCATTTGCCGCATTGCCGCATTTGACACGTGCTTCCGATTCGAGGCTGATTAACATAAAGTTACAACAACAACAACAACAACATCAGCAACAACAACAAATCCCACAAGTGTTTGCCCTCTCATGCATATCAAGTGCGAAAGGGGCGTCTGCCCTTGGCTGCATTTGCAACTCATTTGCTTAAAGCTTTGTCACGAAGCTGCAACTTGACGTGCCTGACAGCCGGACAGCTCGACAGCGCGACAGCCATGTGAGCCACGACACTGTCTGAGATGTGGACAACGTTGTTTTTTTCATTTTCAATACTCCTTATAAGACAGCGGGAATATGTGACAAGGGCATATAGGCTGGACTAAGCTATGTGAACTCAGTCACTTCAGCAGCTAAAACTGATATTTTCTAGTCTTAATAATTGGGCAATGGATATACATATATATTTTACACCACTTCCACCTGAAATATTTTATATATATATTATTATTCTCTTTTAGCATAATTTTAGATAATAATATAATGCTAAGATTTTAGATCTTTACCTACCTATTAAACTTATGAAGTATAAGAGCTGGAGCTGGGAAATTTTCTTTGCATTTATATCATAATCTCATTGAATTTACATATGCGTAATTTAATTTTGAATTTTTGTTTAAATATATAATATTATACATATAGTAAATAGTTT